CCATTTACCATTTATTTTGTATAACAACTAAAAGCGCACTGGGAATTCCAGTGGTCAGGAGCTGGGAATGCAGCATCTGGAGGGGGAAGAGCAGAATGAGGTGAGTCCTGAGGAGTAAGACACTACCGGAAGGTGCAGAGTAGAGACTTACTGGGTGATGTGGGATTAGGGCAAAGGGGAAGGTAATGAGCCGGGGTGAATCCGGGGGGAGGGGGGTCCAGGAATGGAGGGGGCGCATTTGGAGAGAGCGGGTCGGTCAGGATGGATGGATGTAAGTGGCAGAAAGATTCCGGAGTCCTATGGAGTAGTGGTGGTGAATCCTGATACGCTGAGACCTGAGGCAGGTGAGCAAAATGCACAAAAGTCACACGAGACCAAAACATACGAGATACAAAAACCTGAGATCAAAACGAGAGGGCTAGAAACCACCAAACAGTAGCAATCATCCGGCGTCGAGCTGTGTTCTCCATCCACCTTAAGTAGCAGACCCGCTGACTGCTGACCATGTGCAGCTGCAGCTCCCTCTCCTGCAAACACACACTCACAGATGGTTTAGTGAAAGGAGTTTACTCACCCCGACTCTTGACAATTATGTTCTTTAATAAGTTTAAATGACCAGAAATGTTTTTTATGGCAGGTTCAAAGAAATAAAATTAAACTACAAATGACATGTTCTTATTATTGGTCAAGCAACATAAATAGTTCTATATTCGTATTTTTAGTGCTTAATTTTGTGGTCCAATATTCAATCATTTTAGTTAAACAAAGAAATTTATTTTTTATTTTTATACCTTTAGCCCCTAAGTATAGAAACGCATTTTTGGAATGAATAATGACTCTTAGTGATGTTAAAGATGGAAGAACTGATGTGGGGCTTTACAGTCAACTCCCTGAGCCTTTAAATGGTCTCGCAATCTAAGCTTAAAGAGCAAGTAACATCTAAATTAACTTTTTTTTGCTGATGAACTGTATAAATTAGTGTCTAATAATGTTTTAAATGTGTGTATTCATTATTTTAGCATTTTGGTGCATTTTCTTTAAAAATTTAAAATTTAAAATTCTGCCTAAATACCACAGCATTCACCACCTTCAGCTTAAAACATAGAGTTTGAGTCATTTTGAATACACTTTAGCCAATGGCTAAAGAGAAAGATACTACGTAAACCAGTAGAGTACTACGTAGCAGCTCTGTGTCAAAGTTATAAAAGCATCGAGAGTCTCGGCCACGCCTTGTGGCGAGTTGGGAGTTAGCGGTAGTTCGGCATTAGCATATAGCATTAGCATATCCTAGTCTTTAGCATAGCTTTTAGTGTTATACATACTTATTTAGTGTTAGCTTGGATGTTGGATATTGTAGTTTAGTTAGTGTTTGGCTGTTAGTGTAATTAGGAAAGTAGTTCGGGTTTAGTGCTCCATATCGTGTTAGTATGGTGAGAAGGTGTGGTGTAGTGGGTTGCGGTGGCTCTGTGGGGTTACCGAAATCCACTGACTTTTGCACATTATCCTATTTTTTTTTTACCTGTATCTCTTTCATGATCTGTTTGGGAACTATTAAATATTTTGGCCATAACAGGTCCGCGGGACACTGACCAGACTGGCTGTTTTCTGCAGCTTCATGATTTATTACGAATAGATTAAAGTATTGGGCAGAATTAATCACCATATTATCAGAGCAGTAAAAGCAGAGTTGTTGATAATAGTTTGAATTGAGTTGGATCCATCAGTGTGTCTCAGTAATGAAAAGTTAAAATGCATGTGGTTAAAATCTCCTCAGAAGCCTGAATTAAAAATGCACGGCCTCATCTCTGATCACGCTCCTCTAAGGCTTACATTATCTTGCATCATTCCGGATGAGAAACTCTTCAGAATCATTTGGTCTGGCTCGAGTTCTTTTGTGATTTTTTCCCTACAATGTCCTTCCACGCATTGTCACACAATGATTGTGTTGCTGGTTACACAAGCCGAGAAGCCAGTAAAACGCAGATTGAGGGTTGTGTCGTGTGACCGCTAGGAGGCGCCCTCTCCACGTCACATATTAGGATCGAAACGGTTCTGGTTCTGTACCGTTGGAAGGATCAACTTTAGTTCTGGATCTGCTGCAGAGAGCATTAATTATTAACAGAAATCAGGCATTCTGGTGGAAGATGGCGACGCGTGAAAATGTGGCTGCAAAGGGAATAAAACACTTTTCAAAATAAAGGTATTAAAATCTCAAAAGTTGTCAAAGAATTCTGGAATTAGAGCAAAAGTCAAGTTTAAAGGCTGGCCTTGATTTTTTTTAATCTCAAAATAGCCTCAAACTGCAAATGAATAGCTAGAACTGTTTGTCTGGTGACGAAACAGCAGAACTTTGGCCGTTACTCTTTTATTTACCCTCTTCTCGCTGCCCAGCCTCCATCTTTTCACCGTGCGGCTCACCCCTCAAACGTGAAGCGCTTCAGACAAATTATGCAACCGCAGAACCCCCTGCTGGGCCCTGATTGGCTGCGAGGCGTGCCGGGGTGGGGGCGTGGCTACAGCAGCTTTACGTGCTGTTGGCCGCGTCGCAGCAGGGGGCGTGTCATTTATTTTCATTCATAAATCCATTAGCAGAGCATCTCTTCGACATGTGAAAATCCCCCTGCATCCGCTGCTGCTCACGCATGTCTGCCCCGCGAATGTGTCCCCGCGCTCTTAGAGGAAAATCGAGCTGCACAGGAATGAATAAAAAATAAAAACTCTAAGCTACGTCTGTTTTATTGAAACGCAGTGAGATTCAAATACAAAATTTAAGTCGTTTTCCTGAAAAAATCTGAATATTTTCCACAGCATTCTGTGGTTTAAAGGAGGATGAAGATTTGTGGCCAACAGCAGCAGAGCAACGAGGAACGATGCTGCAGTGTGTGAGTCCGTAGCCTTGAAAAGTGAAAAGTTTGTATCACAAAAAGAAGAAACGGTTGGATGGTTGTCGCCGGATGCTGGAGTCTTCCCACAGACAGATAAGATTCCTGACATGTCTGGTCTTTGCTAACACGTGCCTCTGCGTTTGACCTTCTGCGTGCTTTGAGCAAAGCCTCTGGATGTTTTCTCGTCGTTGCAGATGTGAACGTGACATTTAGTGAACCAGAATTTACTCTTATTTCCCCGCAGTCTGATCACGCACACCTGTTTTCATCGTTAAGAGCTCACCCAACCTGTCCCTGCTTTAAGAGGTCAACCCACCACTCGTCCAATCCTCCTGTTTTATGCTTATTTTTGTTGTTTTGCTTATTAAAATATGCTTTAAGTTCACCTGCTTGCCTACTGATCACCTGTACTTTGAGCTCTGCAAAAACCTCACATTGTGACATATTTGTGTCTAAGAGAAACAATAAGCACAAAATTGAGCTAATTATTCACTGCAGTATGTAAAATGTTGTGCGACTGGTCTGTCATCTTTGTTTTTTGAATTATTAACCAGTGAAACATGATCGATTTTCATTCAGTCAGCAGCTGCATCGTCCTCGGGGTTCACCATGAACCCCTTCAAGTCATTCTCAACCACGTCAACCAAAAGTACAACAAACTGGATGAAAACGGTGAAATTTAGAAAGGAGACAGAGGGATGGATATGATGGGGGTGGTCTTCGGCACACATGAACCAGGCATTAAGTTCACTAGGTTCATGTGTTGCAAAGGAATTCTATGGGGGGATGGTAAGCCTTTGGATCCTGGTGACTGCTCCATACATGCAAACAAGACTCTTTCTCCTTGGTTTCTTTTGCCAAAAATCCGCCTTTAATCGTGTTTTGACAGCCAGGGAGGGTCGTGCATAGTTAGAATTTTCAAAGAACTGTATTGTAAATTGACCAAGGACACACCCTGCTGTGTATACACTGAAAGAAGAAGGGGGTTGGTGAGTGAGTTCATGTGTATGTTGTATGTATAGTGGGGGATGGGCAGGTTCTTGGTTCCTTGCCTGGAAAATACCCGATTAACCAACTTTACTTGTTAAAATGCAATTATAACAGAAAATGTGCACGAAGCACAACGTGGGGAGACATACAAATAGCATCATATAGATGAAATAATTTGTGCATAAGAGGTCATAAACATGTTGATTCCTGCTGCAGAGGTGGTCACTGCGTTCACCCTCCAAAGGCAAAGGAGCGGCTGTTGCCTGGCTCTTTATGATGAACCAACAAAGGTGACATCTGACAACGTTTTTGATGCATTCAAATATTTAACATAGCAGGAAAAAAACAACTACAAATAAAATGAAAGGTTTGAGATATTATATTTTGGCAGACACACCCAAACACACAGCAAACACACATTTCCTCTGCCCTTGGAGACTGGAGAACAAGTGGAAGTGGGGGTGTTTGAGTGTGCATGCACAAAGCTGGATGTAAACTGAATCCTGGTTCTAACTAAAGGCATTTACTGAAGTTGCCTGGAGACGGCTGTAATTTATTCTTTACGCCACGTGAGAAAAATAATCGTTTAAGAGAAAAAAGAGTGGCTGAACCTGAAAGTGACAGCTTATTTTCCTGAGAACAGGAAATAGCCAGTGTGTGTTTTTGTGTCTGGAAATGACATCAAATCCTCTTAAAATGTTACTTCCTGATTTATTTGATTAAAAATGAAATGTTGCTTACTTGTGATCTTGAGTTGCATAAGGTCTCTCGTTTTAAGACGCGCACACGCTGTTTGTGATTGTGTGTTTTGTTGTGACTGGGCGGAGTCATAATTCCTGTCACTATCAGATACAACATGGGAATAAAAGTGCGCCTCCCCGTCCGTCCAACGTGCTCTAAAGTGCGTTTACAACCGTGCGCTGTAGTAGAGATCCCGTTTCCCGACACCATTTACACTGGCGACCCATGAGTGGGCGGGGCCGCAGAAGCCTGCGCTGCCGTCCAATCAGCCACGAGCAGAGCAATCACTGGCTGAGACGCTCAACCAATGGCGTGGACCATCTCCAGAGCGGTAGCCAATAGAATAAGCGCAAAATGTCGGCACGTGGATCTACGCACACGTTGACGCTCGTAAACTGCCGAGAGAAGAAGCTAGCTTTGGCAAAGATCGATGAACCACCGGGCGGTGAGCTAAAGGCTGGGCTCCCCGGTGCTCCTCCAGCCACGGAGTGTGTTGTGACGGACTTCTGGCGGACTCACGCAGGAGATAAAACCCTTATCGACCGCTTGCATTCCCCGAAGCTCTGTTTTTATCTCACACGAGTGAGTATTCGCCGTTTTGGCTCTCTTGCTAACGTTCCCCGAAGTTGTTTGACTAGCCTAAGGGAATTTCCTGTCCCGCTTTCGACTTTATGTTTTCGTCTAAAGCTTACTTCATCTTATCTGAACGTCTTTTGCAACATTTTGTTAAAACGCCAAAAGAGTTTTAGTTTCACCAGAATAAAGACGCGAGGAGTTCCGTAATGTTTCACGTTTGCTTCCTTGTTCTGGTTCTTCTGGTAGGCGTCCGACCATTTAAATAGGATTACAAATGCATTCCGTAGTAAAATGTGCTCGTTCTGGCTTCGCTCGTTCACACACACACACACACTCACACACACACACACACACACACACACACACACACACACACACACACCCTATTCCACTGAATCCATCCGACACGAGCTCGTGTTGGGAGGAAGGCGTGGACGCCAACAGGAATAAAGACGCTTTTCGACCCATTTCTGGTAATTTGGCAATAAAACAAACATCTGTTGTAAATTTCTAAATTTAATTTGATGTATTTGTAAAAAAATCTCTACTGTGTTTGTAAAAAAAAGCGTAAAATTTCCATTTTGTTGTGTGCGTGTGAATGAGTTTTGTCATTATTGTGAGCCTGAGCTGTGGTGTGTTTACCAGCTGAGCACATTCCTGGCCAACCCCCCTTTTCATTTACCCATATGTGTTGGTGAGATCAGCAGGCACTTGGAGATTACACACACACACACACTCACTGACAGAGAAATAAACGTCAGTAGCAAGAGATGCTGACTATTAAATGTGAGAGGACGTACAGCAGATCTATTTTGGAAGGGGGAAAGTAGAAATGAGCCCCATGTTTGTGTGCGCAACGATTGGGATGTGATGAGAGGGCTTAGAAAACTGCAGCCAGAGAGGAAAGAGGGTGTGTGTGTGTGTCAAATCCAAGGGGGGGGATGGAGAGCAAGCACGAGACAGAAGAGAGGAGGGGCTACAGAGAGCACCGGAGGCTGTGGTAGAGAGGAGTGTGCCTATTCTGATTTCACTACTCCACACGCGCCCATCCCCCTCACATTTCAGTCTCCTGAATGAGAGCCAGACATGTACAACCATTATTCGCCTACCCCCAGTCCTGCGCTGCACTATGTTGCACCGGGGCACCATTTTGAGTTGTGGGAGACGGAATTGTTGGCTCCGATTGGGGAAAATGGCCATAACAGGAAACACGCCTATCATGTAAATCTTCTCTCCAGCTGAATCCACATTCATAACCCTCTACTTCTGCCCCCAGCAGCAATGCAGTCTCAAGGAAGCACCTCCACCCAGCCCTCCTTCGATTCGCTGAGCTCCAGCGACAGCCTCTTGCTCAGCGACTCAGAACAGGCCGAGGACGACGCAGACGTCTTTCTGCTAGACAACCCTTCCTGTGTCACCACCGCCGGAGCGGGTGGGGCCAAGGCCAAAACTGATGTGGGACCAGAGAGGCCCAGGTCTCAGTGGGACCGCTTCACGGATAAGGAGGAAGAGGAGTCGTGCAGGTCAGAGAGTGGCAGCAAACCGCTCTGCCTTGATGAGAGGGGTGCTGTACGCCAGAAACCAAAATCAGAAGGAGATCTGCTGTTTGCTCAGAAGGTAGGTGGACCACGTGAAAGAGAAGGATAAAATAGCGATGAGCGTTGAGTGGGAATCTCTGGAGAGCGCTTCAGCAAGTGTAATCTCTCTTCCTCCTCTTTCAGTGTGCTGAGCTGCAGGGTTTTGTCAGGCCTCTGCTGGAGCTGCTGAGCGGACTGAAGAAGGGCCGCTTTGACCACGGTAAGCATCTTTAGCTCCCCACCTCCAGCGGGACATGTGCAAACTTGTGTCTCATCGCATCGCTGGCTGTATTGATGCAGCACAAAGTGCAGCGTGAGATGACAGGCTGGCTGCTTACTCATTAGCTCACCGGGGTTTACCGACACGCTGAGTGAAAGTGGCGTCTGTGCACGTCCACATGTGCGTCCTCTCAGACCCACTGCAGGATAATGTTTGTTGTTTTTGTTGATCGACAGGTCTGAGTAGTTTCCAGCAGAGCGTGGCGATGGATCGCATCCAGAGGATTGTTGGGGTTTTGCAGAGACCTGACTGTGGGTAAGATGTCACCCTGAATATCCCGCCACTCACTCCAAACCGTCGTACCTGCTCCGCGGTGTCCCACCGTGTCGTATCTGCAGGCTGGAGTTCGATGAGAGCATGTGAAGGATTATTAGGAGTGTTGGGATAGTCTAATGTTTCAGTCTTATCTCCTGCTGCATGCTTTATTGAACGCTCCTGTGAGTAGGTAGGGTTACAGCATTCATCAGCAGTGCAGACAAACACCAGCATTTCCTCTTAGAGTTAGAAGAGTTTCTTTTTAACTGCAGATATTTTCACATTCCCGTGTTTTTCCTTTACCGAACCTTTCCGTTTTCCTCTCTCTCCATCAGGGAGAAGTACCTGAACACCTTGCTTCAGGTGGAAGGGATGTTAAAGCTTTGGTTTCCCCAGATCTCAGCTCAGTCGGTGACTTCATCCTCGAGTATGGCCACATCCCCCACCCACTCCCTCCAGGACACGTCCAGCTCCACCCCGCCGCACAAACACAGGGATCAGTTACATATTCCTGTCAAGGTGAGAAGTCCTGCATTCCTGGGAGCTTTAGAGCTGGAGCTAAACGGTTATTTTTAAAACGATTAATCTGACGATTATTTTATCGAATAGTTGACTATTCTAATGACTATTTAGACAATTAATCTAACGATTATTTTCTATTGCACAGTTAATAAAAACCAAAAAATCTCTTAAATTCCTCCAAAACGCTGATAAATTGTTACTGTAAGAGAATAAACACTACGGGCCTTCCATTTTGTATAACACTGCGTTTATTGTGTTGGTTGGTTATGTTCTGGTGACGTGTAGAACTTGGGAGTGCAGGCTGCTGCCTGAGAGGTGGTTGGAGACGGAGTGTCTCCATACTGCTTTGTTTTGGTCACTTATGTGTGTGAGGCGAGTGGTGTTACGACCCTTCCTGGGGAGTTTGGCTCGGACAATAACGGGATTTAAAAGTTAAAATGATGATCAGGTTTATTTACAACTACAGAAAATCATAAATCTTTTCATCCACAGGTTGGGAATAATAAAACTAATTCTGCCTGTGGGGAATTAAAACAAAAGTAGAAATAAGTAGGGATGTCCCTCTGGGCAAAGATTACAGGGTTCTGGACCAAAATAAGGATCTCCAAAGGTCCAAACTCTAAACTGGGCGGTTAAACCAAACTCAAGGTGATATTTTAAACTAAACCAAAAACCCACAACACTCTAAATGTAATAAAAGGGAGATCTGCACCACAAAAACGATGAACTCTAAACCAAAACGTAACAGCTGATCCAAACGCAAGAAGCTGTTAGCGAAAATGCTAACAGTAGCTTTACCAACGTTAAGTTCAAGTTACCAAGTTTAAATAAACCAAAAACACCCAGCAGCAAACAGACCAGCATGGAGGAGAGACTGCTACCACCAAAACAGCTCTCCTCATGTCTGAAAGAAGCTCCTTTATGAAGGGAGAAACGCTCCCGGTGATGTTCTACATCTGCGATAGACACGAAGCAGCGCATCTGACCCCGGAAGTTGTTGTCCGTTGCCGGGAGACGAAGGCGGGCAACAGGCCCGGAGTGGCTAATCGGGAGGGTCTGGAGAATTCCCGGTGGGCCGCGCGATGTTTGGGCCGCATGGGCCGGTGCTCTCGTTTTTGTTTTTTATCATTTTATTTTTATTTTTTGGTGCCGGTGTTCAGTCATGGCACTGAGGCCGCCGGGCTGATCTCATACGCTCCTCCCGGCTGTCTCTACCTGCAGGCTGCAGCTCGTTTTTTTTCTTTTTGCCCAATATGCGCCTGTGCGCACCACGTGACCTCGCAGTTGACGGAAAGATGGAAAGTAGAAAGAGCAAGGGTGGCGCGGAGAAGGCAAGAATTAAAAAGAGGAAAGCGCTGGAAACAGATGCAGCTAAATGTGCAAAAATGAGCACCTTTTTTTCTCAAACAAGCTCGCGGTCTTTAACTTCAAATGAAGATAAAACGGGTAAGGCAAGTCAAGATGTTAAACTTTACCGGCTGCAAATCACCATTCAAGTTAATTAAGCATCAATAATGAATTATATGGCGTCATGACATAACGTTATGTAATATAATTAACAGTATGATATGACTGATGCCACCAAACTGTCTTGTAGCCCACAAGATCCAGTAGGCCTAATAAGCACCAGGCAGAAACCCACCATTCCAGAGTGGACATGTACAGGTAGGATTACTTATTGAGTCAGTGAACTGAATATTATTAAAATTTATATGATGAAAACTATCCTGGCTCTATATGAAAGTGTTCTAAAATGCTAGATGATTCAGCATTGATCAGAAAGCGTGTAAAAAGGAAAATGAATGCTGAATTGGGACAATTTTCACACAATGTAGTGTCAGAAGAAGAGCCAGGAGCCAGCAGTGAGGGTATTGCTCCTGTTGGGATAGAAGGTGAGCCAACTCATGTGCAAACAAGCAAACATTAGTTTCATTATAATAATTTTAATGTCCAAATAATAGTAGTGACCTGTTGTATTTTTATTAGTAAATGCACAAAGCCCACAACAGATAGTTATTAGAATGAAAGTAAAATGAAATAAGCCTGCATATTTTGCCATAGAAAATATTTTAATTGGTTACAAAAAATGTGTTTTCCATATCAAATGTGCCAAAGCTTTACAGATGATTATTTTAATTGTGTGCAGGTGAGTATAGGGAAACTGGAAAAAGTGTGAAAGGGAGTGCTGAGTCATTTCATTTTAAAGGTTTGAAAATCTCAGAACAGCTGTTTGAACAGAAGGTGGATTGTTATATTGTTAGAGAATGTGTTGTAAAGAACAATGTTGGAGATGTGCACTGATGTTCAAATAAACCTACATTGTAAAGCAACTCTTTCTTGCACTGAATTACAAGGCTTTACCGAGTAGTGTGCTTTTGTAGACTATACATATAAAGTTCTAACATGATTTTAATAATAATTCATTAAGTGGGCCGGTCTGGGGTCTGAAACTCCAGGGCTGAAAATGTGTCCCACTCCGGCCCTGGCGGGCAAAACAGGAAAGGACTCTAGTAGCGGACGGACATTGTTCCAGGTCTTCGGTATTTGGTGGAGATGTTAGTGAAGGCGGAGAAGAGGGCGAACTAGAGGAAAAACAGGCAGATTCCTCCTCTATTTACAAACTCCTGGGGATGCAACAAGTGGGCGCGGTGCGTCGACTTCCGGATCTGACGTCGACAAATTTTTAGAATCGAGCCGTCGACGTCATCGAGGCTTCGCTACTGCCCTAGTGGGATCCCATTTGACCAGCCCCTCCCCCCAGTGCTTTAAAGTTTGTGTTTATTTTCATAATGTCCTCTTTTGTCTTCTAGAAGCGCAGACTCAGCTGGACTGGAACAGACTCTCCCACGTCTTCCCCCGTGCTCACCAAGTGTCCCCGTGTTGGTGCAGATGAGAGGAGAACAACGCACGATCAAGACAAAAGGGTCGGATCTCCCTCCACTCCATCGCTGGCGTCTGACGCAAACCAGTACTCGCCCGTCTGTAAAGTCCAGCGCAGCTTTGGCACAGAGGGATGCGAGAGCGAGGAACGGAGCGACCCGCCTGCGTACAACACATCCCAGAGCTCCGAGCCGAGGCTGACGTGGGTGCACGTCGCTCCCATCCCGTCCCCGCGGAAGGCCCGTCTCTCGCACGAGGGCGTGGAAATGTTGGGCGACAGGGAAAAGATTGTGGCGCCAAGCAGGAGGGGCAGTCCCGCTATGCAAGACAGCTCCATCTCGTCCACCACGCCCTCCGAGCACCCCGGAAATCTGGAGAAGCCAGCTCAGTGCCACAGCCAGCTCGTTTTTAGTCAGCAGAGTGGGACAGCCGAGACAAGTCCTAACCAGTCTCCGCTCATCACGACGAAGCCTCGGCCCAGGGGGAGCCCCGCCATGTTGGAGACCTGATGTACTGAACACACATCCGGCAGCTTCCATCTTCTTCCACCGTCATGCCTAAAGCTGCTGCGACACAAACAAGGGAAGAGGATGAAAACCAGAGAAAATCAAGGATTTTTGACTTGAAGATACTTGAACTGACTTCTAGCATGAAAGCAATCAATATATTCAGAGGCGGCTACTTCAGCACAAGTCTGAGATGAAGGACAGAAAATCTGATGTCAGTATTAAATCTTAAAGCTTACAGCAGTTTAACCGGATCCGGAGCAAAGAACGAGTTCGACGATTCTTATCAAAGTTTCTGGATCCAAAAAGGAGGAAAGTCTTTTTATTCTGGACGTGAGGAATTCAAGCGCGTCGTCAGAGATGGAGAAACGATGTAAGAACTCACGAATGTACTCCAGACGTTCAGACACTTGTAGCATCTAAAGCCGACTCCCGCTGCGGCGTGGATCGGAGGCTTCCGCCTGCTGCCCGCGTGCAAACCCACCGGCAATCAGGGTCATAAAGTCAGAGACACTTTAAAATACCAGCCAGGAAAGAAAAACAAGGACCACTCAAAGACATGTGACTTTCAAGTCACACCGTTAATTTATTCACGTCCTGATCAACCGCTGCAGCTATTTATTGTTTATTTATTTATCTGTCGGGCAGCTGGTTCTCGCCTGCTGTGTTTCTGCATAGTTCGGCCTCTTTAAGGCGACTTTTGACATTTCATTTGTTTTTATCACGAGGAAGGAGGAAAGAAGCAGGTGGACATCTTTCGACTGACTGCTGGACTACTGTGCCTTTTTACTGATGTGTTCAGAAACGTTTTTGGTGCTTTCGGTGCGTTGGTGAATGCATTTCGATAGTTTGCATTTCTCAAATTCAGCGCCGAGTCAGTCGGAGCGAACCTGCGGTCTTTGCTTTTTCACTTTTCTACACAGCAGCTTTATCAACAGGAGGAAACCACTGTCCATTCCTGCTGTCCCGATAGCCGCCGCCATATTTCCACCTCTCACACACACACACCCTTCTAGAGTGTCTCTTATCAGTGGAGGAGCGGCACTTAAAAGCGGGCGCTCCTGAAAAGTGAACAGAGGAAAGCTAAACATTAGCTAGGAAACCTTAATGCGGGTGGCCTTCCACTGCTGCTGCTGTCTTCTGACTGCAGCTCTAATTTAGATGTTTCATAGGAAGCCCTCTCTTTATTTAGAGTTATGCTAACAATATGTTTATGAATACGACTGATTTACCTAATTACCAAATCATGTTGTGAATAATGAAAGTGTCTACGTTGGTAGTAGGCGAGCCACTAACGGTGTAGCGACAGGTGGGGGTTTCTGCAGACCAGGAGAAGGCAAACGTGGAGCTACCTGTTTTTTTCTTTTGGGGGGGTGGGCTCTGGTTCAGACTAGATCAAAAGCAGAGGGGTGGGGGTGTCTTCTATCTAACTCCTGTTTACCTTTGGTGCATCAGAAAGAGAAACCAATTGCACTTACTCTTTTATTTTCTACTGTAGCGACTGCTGCTGATTGGTCAGAAAAAACCACGCCCCGTTTATTTTAGCTGCCTTTTTTCAGTTCGTTCGCCCTTTCCCCTCTATCCTTCTCTCTCCCACGTCTCCCTCCATCCAGTTTTTCTTTCTCTCGCCCCCATTTTCACGTGATATTGTCCTAAAATATTTTTATTTCGGTTACAATTAAAAAAAGTTTTAATAAAATGACATTTTCAAAGCTAAATCGCCTGGTTGTGTTTTTTTTTCTTCTTCACATAAATGGAGTCAGACATGTTTGTTTTTTTAATGCAGCTCTCAGAGCAGATGTGAAGACTCAGTGGGGTGCAGATTTGCAGGCTGTAAGTGTGTGTGTGTGGCTGGGGGGTGCCCGTTTATCCTCCAGCCAGCTGCTACTGCAGAATCCAAACGTTACTGGTTCTATTTTCATTTCAGCTGAAAGGTAATTTTAGGGCAACATAATGAGTGTAAGAAGAGGAAAACACATGGTGTGATCTCGGGTATTTAGACTATCGCAGTAGTAATTTCAGCCTGTTAAAAAGCAAAAGATAAGCGATTATCTAAATTCGTGTTTTTTTTTATTCACAGACGTCTGAAAATGATTAAATCGGGCAGTAAACAACAGAAAGTGGCGCAATATGAAGTTATTCTTGAACAGATTTAGTAAAAAAGTCATTTTGAAGCAGAAACTGGTTTAGGTTCCTTTCAGTTTTGATTATTTGTTTTACTAAACACTGATTTTAATCAGTCTTAGTCATAAATTTGAATTATTTCACTAGATTTATCAACAACCCTGATTGAGGGTTTACAAATAGCCAATAATCACTGAGAAAAAATGTTTTTTTTTTTAAATTTACAGATAATAGAGTTCACAATTCATTAAAAAAAGTGCTCACTTGCGTACTTTTCCACATGTATGTTCACTGGATACATTTAACAACACCTCTGCGACCCAGAGTCCGTAAAGGTGATCGTGTCAGATCCAAGTGAAACGCCAGCTATAAGAAGAAAAACTGCAGTTCCGCCTTCATCCAGTAGGGGCTGGCTCCAGAAATGAGCAAGTTCCTAGCCTAGTGAACTAGACCAAATTCTTGCTTTGCAAAGTTTGGTCTAGGCATGCTCCATTGGAACCTCAGCAGCTCCTACCAGGACTCTGGCTAGCCAATCACAGCTCTCTAGAGGGGTTTCAAACACATAAAGAGCTGTGATTGGTCCATAATGGTGGGCCAATCATAGTGCTCTATCTGCTTAGTGAACAAATCACAGAGCTTTATTCGCTTTGTGGGCCAATCAGGGCACTCTATATGCCTGGTGGGTGGGATGATGCAACAGAGTGAAACAAGAGTATGTCACATTCATTGTCCAGTAGAATGCAGAGATCATTTGAAAGACAACGGTAGAACCCGCCCCACAACTGAGAGCTGTCAATGGAGTGTGGCCAGACTAAATAATACATTTATTTAGTCTGGCTTGCCAGGCTAGCACGTTCCCATTGAAACTGCTAACTTCACAGCAGAAATAAACACGTTTACAGCCTGGTTCAAAAACATTTAACAGGTCAAGTTTACCATCAACAACTCTGAGAATGGAGATTGTTTTTGTAACTCATCCTTTTATATGTAATTTAAGTTTGGAATTATGGATATCTACTTAGGGCGTGTCCTTTAGATTGACAGGTAGTAGATGAGCTGTCATTGCTAGCGCTAGCAGCTTTCTCCCCTGCTAGCTCAAGGGAAGACCTCGACCTCTTGTTTAAAGTGTTACAGCCCAGAAGGTGCAGGTGCTAATCCACCTGCCAACCTCAGTTAGCATCTGTTGGCTAAGTTAGCTCATAGCTACATAAGCTCAGAGTTTGATGGGCATCACTCACCTGCCCCGACCCTCACAGCCACTAACTCTAACCACCTCTTTGCCCAATTCTGTATTTTTAGAGAGACGAAAGGCGAGTTGTGGCTAAAGTGGTGCCCGCTGGGTGTAATTTAGCTCTTAAGTTATCTGCCAGCTGTAAGAAAACTTTAATACAATGTTTGAAATCAACATTTCAAAACATAGGAAACATTCTTGATCTAGCTTCTTCTTCTCTTTGAACAAAACTTCACAACTATCACAAGACGATTGTATCCCTCTGTTCTATTAATCAACAAAGCGTCGGGATTAAAACTCCTGTCTACGAGAGATGCAGCTCCGATCAAAAACCTCCACGTCTGAAATCGGGTTCAGGCACCAGTTGTTATTGTTCAGGTCAGTAGAAACTCTTTTCTTGTCTGGATCCTCTCCGTCTAGCAGACCTTAATTTCTTGGTTCTTTACTTCCAGAGGAGGAGGACCGGTAACACTCAGGTCCTGGTACACTTCCAAAAATGACCATTATTCAGCAGGTTGGTTTGAAATGTTTTTTTATAGAAAAAGCATAGGAAATGGTATAAACGAGACATTGTGACCTCCTGAAGCCGCCCCTCATGGGCTTCAGTCAAAAGACCCAGAATCCTTAGTTTTCATCCTAGCTTGGCCCTCCTCATTTTGTGGCATAGTACATTTCTGTTGGACCAGTACATGGTTATGTGTCAAGATCCGTGCGCATCACTAATCTTATCCTACATGATGTAGGGTGTCGGAAATTGAGTGCTTTAAGAGCCCAATGAATATATTACCTCTCCTTATGACCAATAAGCTGTGATACTCTATCTAAATGTAAAATATCAACCTGCTTGGTCTTTACTGTGTTAGTCAGAAGATTCTAGGGTTTTTTCTTTATTAAGGAATTGTACACTCTTCGTTTTGATTCAGAACACAGTCAGGTTTATAAAAGTAAGAATTTATTTTACAAACAATTAAAACATGACAAGTTAACTAAGCATTGACTGTGATGGGTGGAACCAAAGGTTATTTATGAAACCTACGTGTGAATGCGATGTTAGTCAGAACTTCCTTATCTAGGAGAGCTGAGTTCTGGATGTAAAAGAATGTGGTTTGCGTGAAGCTATGAAGGTGGTTGTTATCAAAATACACCAGACGCAATCTGTCATGTCTACTTCACCCGTTCTCGGAGACCCTCTTGGTGGATCCGAAGGTCAGAGAGGTCGGCTGACCTCTGGCACAGAAGGGCTGTAGAATACCGTGGCACCGACGCTTCAGTCCAGAGATGTCTCGGGTAACGACAGATGGACGGAACTGCGCGTCTGGGTCTCTGAAGGAGTCTAAACACTATCAGCTTGTTCTGCAGGAACTGTTGCGGTATCAGCTTCGCAGGTGCAAAAAGGTTTTGACGACGTGTCAAAAGCTTTGATGGTTAAAGAGGGTTTTGCTTCCGGTGGCCGGTCTGAAGCTTTCTCTAGAACTGCTGAATCACCAGCGTGATCCAGTCTTAAGGATCTCATGTTATGATTTGTGTAGCCAACCAATGGTTGACAGGTTTGAGAAATGTTACTAAGAAACTCAGAAACACACCTTCTTTGATACGGAGGCTCTGACTGGGGTAAAAGACTATTTATGTGTCACGGGTTCAACTTATTGATTAAATGTCAAAGGGACTTTTTTCCTCGGTAAATAAAGGCTAAATAAAAAAAATTAACCTTACTTGAGCTTGTGTGAGTGCAAATGGTGACGACCTTGCCATTTAAACAACATAACATTCATTTCAAACTTCAATCATTGAGCACAGATTAATGAAACTTTACATTGTATTATAATTATTATACGTAGCAATAAACAAATGTTTATTTACCGATTATCTAGCTTATAAGTTGTAGAAGAAGTTCATATTGATTTAGGAAATCATTCTTTGACTTAGCAACTGATCCGAGCTGGAGTGTTCCTTATATGGAGGCACGAAGACCTTAAAGATTGGGCCTTGAGGAGAGAATGTTATTGTTGACATGTCGTTATCTGTTTTCAGAGCTGCAGAGCTCCAGCTGATGGGATGAAGTCAGGCCAATTTAAAGGGGACACATGCAGTCTCGTGTCTCCTTTTTGACCGGATGTTGAACGGTCAAACTGTACCTAAAACTGACCATTGCTGGACGTTACAATGAACAAGATCATGGATGTTGCTGCATCTTGTCTGACTGTGCAAGAACGAACTCTCCAGCATACTTTCTGTACAGATAAGTACTGGTTACGTGATCTAAGCCGTGTCCCAGATCAAATAAACAAATAAATAGAGAAATTATCCAACAGAAACCTATGGCGTGGAGGCTCCACCCACCTTATATGGTCAGATCACAAAGCCAACTTCTCAAATACAAAGAAGAAGAAAAATGGACAAATTTAAACTCACCTGCAGTCAGACTCACCTAATCAGTTAATTTAAGTAGACGTCTAACAAATTCTGTACACCTAATATAAACTAAAGCGGAAGAAACTTTGGTAACACTTTAGTTCAGGGAACACAAATTAACCATTAATTAGTTGCCAATAAATATGCATATTAGTGGCTTATTAAGTCTGAACTAGTCATTATTAAGCACTTATTAAAAGCTTAACATTAATTCCTATTTCCAACATTAACAGGCCATAAATTAAGAGTTTTATCAAAATGAGCCATTCATAATGGTTTATTGCTGATTAACGCACATGCTAATTAGCTCTAATCAAAATGTGGCTTTTAAAGAAGTAATTCAAGGGGAACATATTCTTGCCTTTAAGTGGTTAATTAACACTAAACTACTAGTAATTAGGTACGAACAAAATCTGAATTTAGAATGGGGAACATATTCTTGCTTACAAGTGGTTAATTGATTGTTGTTTAGGCTCTATTAACATGTGGAGTTTGTTGTTTATTTACATAATACCAGAACAAAATATTTTTGGTTATTAATGAAGAATAAATATTCCCCTTAGATTACTTCGTTAAAAGCCACATACTGATTTGAGCTAATTAGCACGTGTGTTAATCAGCAACAAACCGTTTACTTTCAGTTAACAAACCATCATGAATGGCTTATTTTGATAAAACTCTCAATTTATGACCTGTTAATATTAGAATTACAGCATTGGTAATAAGCACCTAATAATAACTTAATAATGACTAGTACAGACTTAGTAGTCCACTAATGTGCATATTCATTGGCGGCTAATTAACGGTTAATTTGTGTTCCCTAAAGTATTACCGAAACTTTGAGTAAAATGTTACGCAGAAATGCGAATAATCAACTGAGAAAGGATTGCGCTACTCCTACACTTCCTCATCATGCCCCTAATCCCTAATCCCTAAGTAGAAGTCACCCAC